ACAGTATTCGGTCGGTAGACTTTATTTTCGGTGCAATCAAGCCGTTCGAAATAGCTCAGATAATGAGAAATAGCTTTGATAAAACAATAAAAATGTTTGAGAAAATTGCATTACATACAAACACATATACACACACATACATACAAAATGTCACATTATAAATTATATATATATCTATAAAATAAGTATGAAGCATACACACACATCCACAAAGAATCAAAGGATCATTAGAACAATTTGAAAAATGATTTGCCTCGAATCAGTATATAACAACATTAAGTGGCATTTAAATGCCATTTCTGTCACTCAAGTGACAATTTTACGTGTGTAACATTAGGTTACTGTCACTAGTGCTTGTCTCTTTTTTTATTTACTCTTTTTGCGGTCAAAAATATATGATCCAATCCTGAAAGAGTCCCTTGAAAATTTAAATAAGCGCGAAAACTGTCCGTGTCTCCCATATTGACGCTAACGTAAAGTTTAAGGAATTTTAATAAAATGTTACCGTATGTACGACTTAAGAAGCGCTTTCTAGAAAGTATAACGTTGCACGATCGTAATATCTTGGACAAATATTTATCCGTCCCACGTGATGATGATGATAGTGGTGGTGGCGGGGGTTCACGGAGAGAAATATATATATATATATATATATATATATATATATATATGTCGCACGATAAAGTGAAAAAGGAAACATATTTTACGAGACGACAGCAACGGCGATGTCAGACCTGTAATTTCTCGTTCCGAGCATACATTTTTTTCATGCGGTTACATTTTTTTCCAATAAACAGACTAAATAAGTTACGAGACTTATTCTCCGACGATCGGATAACCCTGCACTCTGTTCTGTTCTCGTTCCATATGAGGGAGGGGGATATAAAAAGCGAGAAAGTCATACCAGTTCGTTGCCAGCGAAAGGACAATGCAAAAAAAAATCTGTCAAAACGGAGCAAATCTGAATTAATCAGATTACAAAAACTTGTTTAATCTAGAGAGCCAAAAATATTTATGTTTAATTGCATACAAAACAAAACTTTGATTTGAGACATTTACTGTGAAATTTTATTATTAGTTTAAACAACAGCAAAGCTAATTTTTTTATATTATATATATAAAACATCTCTTTTTTATATTTTTATGATTTTTTTTTATATAAATTGTGCTATATCCTTTTTCTCTTAAAATTTCTTCAAAAGGTTAATCTATTTGAGCGAAATAATCTTGACAAGGAATAAATGCAGAATATCTCTACATAACCAAGTGAAATATATATTCTGCTCTCCAAGCAAATTTGCACCGTTTGAAGAGAAGCCGGTTTTCGCAAACAGGCGAACGTTGCAATCCAATGATATGTATCTCCGTTATAAATATCGAGCGTCTAATACTCAAATTCTCTGAGAATCGATTAAACGCTTCATTAATATTGTATTACGTTGTAAACAAAAGCAATTTTCGCAATCATGGGGATTTGATTTTATTATTCATTGTCTTTCATACATAATTGCTTATAATCTGTAGAAATTCTAAAAACGAACTCGAACTTATCAATCTGTTAATTTTATTTATCGTCATCGACACCGAGTATTTTTCCTAGCCCATTTTCAACGTACAAGCTCTTACTAAGTTTTCTACACGTTTGAGAACAGATAATCTCTATAATAATAATAATAATAGAGATACCATAGAGAGAGAGAGAGAGAGAGGGAGAGAGTATGAGAGATAGCACTCGCAATAACAATAGAAATCATCATCTATTCATGTCAATTTCAATAAATCAGATTAATATTCCATTTGATTGACGACTTCATTATCTCCCGCAGTAATTGCTGCTATATAGGGCGTTTTCAAACTATATTTAACTAAAATTTTTTGAATATTATAAGTTTGTCCTTTTGAGTATCCTTCTTATCAAAGTATATTTTATCAAAGTAAATCGACAAATTCAAGACAGACATTTGATGCTTAAGTGCTAATTACTAATTCCGTGTCAGTTGGTATGATACCATCACCATCAACAGTATGCAGTTAGGGTCGTTGTATATGCATGCATATATCCCACGAAACTACCAATACTTTGCCGCAATTACTGTAATTGCCTTATATCGAAACGCTGCACGTTGGGTCGATCGAATCGGCAAGCATTCCAATTAAGCTACCGACGACGATTGGATATCCCAAATCTCCATCGCTGTGTTTCTTGCTCGAAATATAGTTTATTACTTTTAAAAACAAAAGGATCGCGCGCCCACAGTTTAACTTAATCCTCGGTCATAATTTTAAATCATCCACAAATTGCAGACTATTAGTCGTGAAAGTACTATCCATTTTTGTTATATTTATTTTTCTAGAGTTTTACAAGAATTTATAGAGACTTTAAGACACTTTACATTATATAATACCTCTATTTTCTACCTCTATTACCGCTATTTTCACATATAGAGCCATCCGATCCAGAATCCAAATGTGCGATAATTCGAGAATAATGCTGGTAATATCTGACGATACTCGTCATTTCGCCGCTAAAGGATATCTGTTTTTGTCAACTGCACGGTAGCCTGTCCATAAAAAGTGGAATTTTGCCAACCGCTTAGAGCAGAATACTGCGGAAACGCTGCATCTTACGATCAGGAGCGGATCTATCCGGAAGCTAGAACGATCTTCGTAAAAATCATTTAGCCCAAGATAATTTTGATCACAAATATTTGTAAATGAAACAAAGCACAGCATTTCCCATAACGTTCCCTTATTTCGTTATCCTCCTATGTGCTAGGGATTTCGAGAAATGAAACAACTTTAAATCGCGAGATGCCAGTATCCGCTCCTGGGAAAACTTCTATTTCATTCTGCAGTCAATGGCAGTCGCGACGCGGCTTCGCGCTTACGACGCGACGTACGTGTTTCCCTTTTTGCCAGGTTATCGCATTAAGCCCGCCTAATGTCACTCGAAGAAACGAGCGGTAAGAGGGAGACGGAGAAAAGTGGAAAGTATAAAAAACGAGCGGGCTCGATAGATCGATCCGGCGGAAATTTCTCAGGGGAACAACATTCGTGAGCGCGGTGCCGCAGGCCGTTCAGGCGCTATCCTACATCCATCACGCGGAATTTGCACATTCGTGCTGGACAACTAGATTTACTGGCGAAATATCCATCGCGGCGGTGAGGGAGGACCGTAATCATGAAGAAACCTACGCAATTTATAAGGCGTATATAAATTGAAAATTATTTACAGAAAAAATAGTTAATTCTGGTATAACTTATATGTTTATAGATGTGTTTGAATACATTTGCATTTATTTTATATTAATCGCGCAGGTTAATATAAATATTTGTCATATATACGCGCAAGTGCGGAAGCCCGAATATTAAACAATCGATAGAAAATTAAAAATACTACTTTGTAATAATAAACAGTATCAGTAGTGTTATAATCGCGCGCGACAGAATAAATCATTAAATGATCAACCGACACTATTTATCAACGTATAGTGTAATATATAACGTGCGCACATAAATTCATAATATTTGTACTATTAATCTCTTACGCGATGAAAGTTTGTGCTTTTACGGACGATCGATACGCGGTGCGTTTTATCAATCATGCGAAATTAACGATTTTATCCCTGACACACATATCCGTTTTCAATAGGAATTAATATCACGTACTCGAGAATCGATTTCTCCGCGAATGTGATTCGATAAGGTCGGTCCTTTACGCGATTCGTCAGAGCGTTCTATCAATCTGCGCGGCATTTTTCAGCGAAGCGTTTTTCAGCTCGCCCTCGCGAGTTTTCTCGAGTCCACGTTACTGCGCTTCTTGCATGCAGAAGGGGAATAGATTGACTGAAATTGACACCTACACTCCCGTCCGTCAATGCGGATTGACGACGACCAAATTGGATAATCGGTGGAAACGCTACGATCGCGGTGACGATTTTGCGCCGAGCGTTGGTATGTCCTTGTTCTCATCCTCGCATCACTGTCACTTTCGCCCTCGCTTGATTTCCCCTTTGCCTTTAATTCCTCAACGTATATTTTTCATATGTATTTTCTAACGCCCGTTATTCGACATCATCGCGACGAACTTTTTAATTCCATGGCAATGTTTGGAGAATTAATATTTATATAGATTTTTATATTTCCCAATGAAAAATTTTTATTTCACTGTAAAAATAACAACGTAAAAGTGCAAAAATTCGTAAAGTTATCTAGTACTAATATTTGCAAAAATTAAATATTTTAGATGAGGAAAAAATTGTAGAAAAATTCACACATTTATGTTTATTGCGTTGTAGTTTTGACTATGCCGAGCGATAATTCATTAGAAGTCCTTCATGAGCACGGATTGGATGACGTATGAGGTAATTAACGGTTATTCCGCGCCTAATTGCCCGGGCGATTATGACTTTTCCGCGTGCACATCGTTGCGGCGCCGCAGTGCCACGGCATACACGTGAACAAAGTTTTAAATAGCACCGTTCTTAATAAATCATAGAATAAGTTTGCTCATCTATGTGTACCTTCATTCTTAAACACTTAGAAGAATGCATGAAATATGAAATGAAATAGAGCAAGTTTAATCAAATAAAGCACTTTCAAGCTTTTATTTATGTCAGTAATATAATTACGCATTAATTTTGTAAGATTTTATTATAAAAACCGATTATTTTTAGGCACTAGTAAATATAATGTTTTGACGCATCTAAAAAAAATATAAAAGCTTAATTAATAGATACAAATGCTATATACTATATATAGTATAATATAATTATACTATAATATTATACTATAATATGTATACAAATTTTTATTTATACGCACAAAAGACTACACACACAAACAAACACATATATATATATATATATATACTTTAAATCTATACAGAATACTTATTGTTAATCTCGTAATAGTTTTTCTTCAAATAAGAAAATTTAAATTTTTTATTTGAAGGAAAATTATTATACAACTAGATATTCTGTGTAGATGTGAAGTATTCTAGCTATTTTTTGACCATGTTGCAGAAAATGAATCATATATTAAAAATGGTTATTTTTATTACAGGTGCACGACGCGATTCATTTGAGGATGATTTGGAAGACATCAATTTCGATTTGGCCATGCCGAGCTTTTTCGCTGGTATGTATATTTATAGTTATCCCGAGGTATATAGGATAACTGAGAGAGATGCTATAACATAATTTCGATTTCCGATATCAGAGTTTGTACTTTTTAATAACTGCATTACACTGTATTACGCTTTCTGCGCGCGGGCGCGCAGTTAAAGTCAACTAAATATATATTTGGGAAATTAAGTAGAAAGAGACAGGAAAGAGAAAAAGAATTGTAAAGAAGTAAAAGAAGCACTTACACTAAAAAGATAATAGATTCTTATCATTAACTCTCATCAATACGCGTACATTCGTTCGTATTTCCACCGCATATTTCATGCAAAATGTGGCCGCGGAAATACTAATTTTATTCATGCGATATAAATACCGCATTTAACGTAAATGCAAAATGAACATCGAAATGGTACTTTTAAATGGTCGAATGCGAGAAATACAGATTTTGGGATTACAGACGACCGCCTATCAAATCAGGTGCTAAATATAGGTGCGAATACATCCCGTTATATTCATTAGCGCCTTCGTCGTGTTCCTACGCTCTAATCATACAAATTCGCAAACGTGCTGTACGAGCGTGCGTATTGCCACTGACAGGTGGGGATCATATAGGCGTGCGCAAATATCGCACACGCATCGCGCTCACGGTCTGACCGGAAATGCAACACGCATCCACGATTGCATCGCGGGCGTCAAGCTCGTATTTCGCTTACATGCGGTTTGTCTGAGCGTAACTTCCGTCAGTCTGCGCCTATATGGACATTTGGTATTGTGGTATTGTTGTATTATGGTTAAGCTCGTATTTCGCTTACATGCGGTTTGTCTGAGCGTAACTTCCGTCAGTCTGCGCCTATATGGACATTTGGTATTGTTTATGGTCTACCAATTATCACGTTCTGTCGTTCGCTCAGAGCAAAACTTGGTTATCAGCGTCCATGTACGATCGGCTAATCAATGGCTATTTAATACCGTTTAACAATCGATTATTTATTTGATGTTTTAATTTTGCCTGATTGCACAAAGTTTTACGTATAATGTAATTTTTTACGATTATAATAACTTTTAACATTGTGTGAAAATGATATTTTACTTGATAAACATACACGCGCGCAAAAATATTAGATCCAATAAAATTTAAGTTAAAATTGATTTAAAAAAAAAAAAGTTGAACTTTTTTGTTGTAAAATTTTTTATATATTATTGCATAAAAATTTATAAAAAATTCCTTTTATGAACAAGAAATATGTTGTACGTCTAAACATAGATATGTACCTGTTTTTTCCTCTAAACAGATAACGATAATCAAGGTTTCAAATATCCGCTTTGGCGATGCATAGAATTAGCATTAAACGTAGATATATGCCCCTTTTTTTCTCTAAGTAAATAACAATAATCGGGGTTTCAAATATTCGCTTTGGCGATGCGTAGAATCAGCGTTGTGGCATTACACACGTATTCTACAGATTATCGCTTTACGGAAGGCAACTTCCGCTCTTCTACGCTCTAGGATGATCAACAATCTCCCATAAACCAGCTCGACTGCGATATGCGTCATATATACGACTTGTGTATATGTGTATATGTGTATACAACTGCAGCAATAATGTCTCGCGGGTAATGACTTGCTTATTCGTGTGTGGGCGCGTGCGTGCCACCCGTCACTCTCGTTACGCAACAATTCGAGCTTCGCATATATCGCGAAACGATACCGCACCTGTAGACCATGCCTTCACTCTGACAATGTATCGCCATTTGGCCATTATTGATGATCGCATTTAAGAGAATCCGCATACGAAACTGGATACTCGCATTTAACGTAATTTGAATGCGCATTAAACGAGATTTTCGTCGAAAAATAATATAGCGAAGCATATAAACAACTATATCGAAATTAAAATGGAAACTATTTTATAATGTGAAATATATAAAACTCAAATAGACGACTCAAAAAGAATATATAATCGTGAAATAAAAGTATTTTATTAGAAAATTTATAAATAATAATAATTTTTAATTATAAAATCATTTAAAGTAAGTGTTGTGTATGTGTATGTGTTTAATTATTCATCTAATAAATAATAATTTTTCCATTTTATATTTTTCGATTATTCTTATTTTTGGATTTACATTTTTATCTTGGAACTATATTTTAAAGATTTAATTAATGAAATTATTTATTTATTTAAATAAGGCTTTTTTAATTATTATTAATTTTCATTTTTTTATTATTTATAGTATTATATTTATTTCCTTTATTTCGTTATATGTAATTTGGTGAGAAAAAATTTCAGGTTTTGTTTTAAGGAGAAAATAGATTAATAAAAGAAAGTTTTCTATAATAATTTTATGAAATTTAAGATTATGTATTTATGGTTTACTATCTCGAATCATTCCATAAATTCCAATAATTTGAGATCTAAATATTTTGATATAAGTATGGCTTATAAAATCAAATAAAAATCTAAAATATTTTAGATTGAAATCTGGAAGAAAAATCGATATTAAATTTTTGTCTTGTTTCTTCTTATTTCTGGAAAAGTAAATAGACGAATAGACAAATACAAACGTATATTGATATGTAACACTTCCGCATTTCTACCGTTGTACATTGAAGAAATTTGCAAAAGATATAAATGCGGTGTTACAGTCGTGCAATCGCAACGGAATACATTTGAGAAACTTGTTTATCTTCATTTTTTTTCCGATCGAGCTCGAAGTATACGGTGTACGAGAGAATAAACAGAACAACAGTGAAAAAGCCGTCCGTGTCGAATGTATATTTTCCTACTTTTTTACTAACTAATATTTAACAAAATTCTCGTTAAATATTTTCATGCGTTTCGCGCGTTCGAAGCGTGTTTTATAAATATTTATAAAGCTCAAACAATATGCATCAAACGCCAAATATGCATCCAAATAAGTAAAAATTTTACATGGATAACAGCCGAATACGGCGGCCTAAAAAGTTCACATAATTCCTCGAAATGCGACGACTTTGGTGATTGCGGCAATTTCTGCTTAATGCGCATATGTACATATATGTTACGTTCTTATCGTAGACTATAACAACTTAAGCTGTAAGATTACGTTCATCGCACCATTAATCGACATAATTATAATATTACATCAGCGAAAAAGAATAATAACAGGTAACAGCAGTATTCTAATGAAAGCGATTACCAGGAAATATTGTTCTAATTAGCCAGCCGCGATTATTATCGGATTGCAAAAAGCTACAAATTGCTCGGGACAAATCAGTTTAGGAGACATAACACTATAAATATTTATCAGTTTTATAAAATATAATTTAACATTGATAAAAAAAGAATGTTATTGTCAGAATTTTGAAAATCTAGTGATTGATAATTTGGCGTTAATATTAATCAATCTAAAAAGGTATAGATAAAAATATTTATGAAAATTAAGATCATTTTTTTGAACATAAAAATCATGTACGCTTACATATTATATAAATACATATTATCAAATTTTCTTTTTTACATTCATTCATCTCAAAAACTCTATATTTGTATATCACGTATAGCACCAAATCTGATTTGAAATAATATTATATTGTGAGATAACACATTGATCTTCATCTGGAAAAAGACACGCAAGATCCGGAATCATATAGATCTAAATCTTTTTAACTATCTGTCATCCTGCGATTGTGACCCTTGTCATGATATCAAGTCGCGAAATGCGGCGGATACGTCGCTAGTGACAAATATCTCTGTGCATGCGTATATTTGCATGGCTATAAAAACGTGCGAAGAAAAGTAGTCGATCGATCGATCGACATGATTAACGGTGTTATCGCGTGGAATTTCTAACAAGGTGATTCCGAGATCCCTAGCGGACAGGTACATGTAGACGGCACGTGCGTCGCGCGCTCGACAGAATAAAATCCATGGCGATAAACGTCATGTTTCATGGCCTTTCGAAGTAGCACAGTCAGGTAAAGGTCGCGATATTAATGTTAAGCTCGTAACAAGATGAAATAATGCAGACGTGAGATTAACTCTATGCTATATATATGTATAATCATAATGACTTGCGTCAACCGTGCATCGCTATAAAAGGATAGCGTTCTTTTAAACGGAAAATGTACTGAAAAATTAAATATGAATCTATGTAGATGTATAATAAATTAAATATGAATATATGTCTGTCCGATATAATTACACGACTGTGACTGCATTAAATTAAAAATATTCGAATTGCTAATGCTAAAAATAAAGATATAGAATGGGGAGAACAAGTTTGGGAAAGTTTCTCTCTCTCCCTCTCTCAAATACATAATTTATTTATATTCGAATATTTACATACGAGAAAGATATAAGATACCTAAATTATTAGATATATTTTTAACAGATATTGCAGTGTAAATGTGTGAAACTATATCAAAGTATTGATAGTTTTATAGTCTAATGTCATTGTAAATTTTTTTAAGCGCTGATCTCTTTTATAGCTTATCTATCCTTTCAGGAAAGAAAGCTTTTTCCTCTTCTGAAATTTCGCTCAATATTGCGCGCAGCGTGATTAAAGCGTAGCCGAAAATTAAATTTTTCAGAGAAAATTAACAGGTCGCGCAAGAGAGAGAGAATTAATTGGCGCGACCTCTGCTATTTTCAAAGAGCCATTCTCTCGTTCGGCACATTTTATGATATAGCGAGATGGATGCGTACTATATGTCGCAACTGCGCGTGTATATGACAAATTAATAAATTAATTAATTAATAAACTGATAGATAAATTTGGCGATAATCTTGCGCGGTATAATTTATCAAAAAAATTATCAAAAGACAAACCTAATAAATTTTCCAATTTTTAATATTTTATAATCATCAATATCGAATAATTTTTCGAAATATTAAATTTCAAAGTGCATTTTAAGATATCAAATGTACATTTATATGTGACAATAGAGGAAAATATAGAAACGAAATATATAATAAAAATATATACACATACATTTAAAAAGATATATCTTTAGAATTTCGTCATTAAAACTAAATTTTTAAGTGTAAACTTTTTCATCCAAATAGACTCCTTGTGCACAAGTCACGAAGACCCGCGGACGCGAGGGAGGATAAATTTGAACCGCATGCATAACTGCATATGATCCCTTACGTGTATCTCATGTATCAAATTCCATATGCACTCGTGCAGAATGCAATGCACAACGCTGATAGTTTCAGTAGTATGCCTATTTGCAAGTCGCGACACGCACAAGTCACCGCAATGTCAGAAGCTTTGATTATTATTGCTTTGGTCGATCGAGCGAAGCGAGAGTGGATGAAGCGAGACTATGCGAGAGCGGAGACCACATTCGCCCGCTGCATAGAATTAGAAATGTATTAAATTAATCGAGAAACTCGTGCAATTGGTTTTCGTCTGCATGATTACTATAAACTGGACTGAAATTATCAGTGAATGAAAAAATTTTGCGTTGCAGCAAAAGCGCTCTCGCAACGCATGTGAATTGTTGTAACGCAAGTAAAGAAATATGTGGATCACTTGTAAAAGTCGCTGCGAGATCCTGCGTGGCTTCAAGGTCGACAAGAGTACAAAATTTATCAGGTCACTTTCACTATTGAGAGGATTTTAACGGCGCGACAGAGGTAGAGAGATCGAGGCGCGCTGCCAAAAGCATGAGAAAGAGAAGATGATCGGTCCAATCGATCGGCCCATGATGGTATATAATACGTAATCCGAGGGCCAAAAGCAACCGCGGACATCCACTGGGCAATTTACAGTAATCATTGATTGCGCGACTCGATGAATCGTTATTCAAATCCGCGTGACGCAGCGACCGGTCGCTGGCCGGTGGGAGGTCGACTGGAAATGGACCCGGGAGACCGGGAGTTACTCCGCGAGCACGAGAGCCTACGGATGCCAATTTCCCGATGATTTCACGAGCTATTTATTATTTTAGCGTTGTCGAACAATCTGAAATTTAATACGATCGCAATGGCCGACTGATTTGCATCAGACGTGTCTCGGAAATATCGCTGTAAATGTAAAGTCTCCTATTTTCTCTTTCTCTCTCTCTTTTCTCTCTATGCACAATATACGTAATTTTAAAAGGTAATGTACAAATACTTTTTTGTAAAGAATTATTATGAAGATTTTTTGATAATTATTTAATTGGCATATATCATATAGATGTCCTTATTAGCCTTCTTTATCCTTGGATTAATTCATAGCTGATAATTCCGAGACATCATATGTTAAGACATAATCGTGAAATGAATTACATTTATGCTAAATATATGCACATTACGCTCCACCTAATTGTTGAGCCAGTTGGCCTTTTGTCGAACTCGATATCGGCGACAGGTTTTCACTTTCATGATTCAAAATGATTCAGAACTTAACCACCGATAAAATATAATAATTACATTCCTATCATTATATAAAAGCTGACAATTATTAGTTTTGTATGCATTTTATGTTAATTTATTAGACAGATATAATTTCATATAGAAGATATATCAAAATTATATATTGCAGAATTAAAATTTCGTAGCACATATAACATACAATAGCGATATAAATAATAATTGTTAGCAATCTAAATTAGTACTGTAAAAGTTAATGACTGCGGCAATATCATTTTGCAAAATTGACAGCGCAGATTTCAATTCAACGCTCATTTTATATCATTATTAAATAAGCGCAATGTTATATAAACCAGTCCTTCAAATTTCGTTATAACAAAAATATATATAATCTCAAAATTTGCATTTTTAAATATTTTTATTCTAAATTATTTTTAACATTCCCCACGACTCATATAATATAAAACTGTTTACTTGTTGCTCGCTAAACTTGCGACATCATAATTTCCTGTCGCTGATTTAGCGTATTTGTTAAATTCCGCGCTTCATATATTCGGCGCACGTCGAATTTCGAAATAAGCGTTTATGAGCGGCCGTTTTTAACAATAACGGGCCGTTTTGCTAGCTAATTAAAATTATCGCGTGCAAAGAGCCAGTAACGCACTGATTTCAGCAATGTATCCAATGCTACCATATCGTTCCCCTTTCCCACGCTTTCCCCTTCCCATCTATTGTAAATTTTTCTATATGCAAACGAAGCCACTGTCGAATAATATGCCGACCCGACGTGTCCTCATTGAGATTCCACATAGCAATAATCGGCCGATACAGTCGACTATTTTACTCCGGCAACCGCATTGTAAGCGCAATAAAGTATGCAAAATTTATCGGCACGGTTGACGTACTCCCCGTTTTCCCTCCGCGTATATCCGATCACGGCATAAATTATTATTACATTTTACGAAATACTGGGTCGTGGCATCAACTACCATTTTATTTATAACGCCCACCAAACGACGTCTTATCGCGGAACCGCGGGAATTGCATAACGACATGCGAGTTCGCAAACATGTAAGAGATATAAATACTCTTGGATATAAATATTTATATATTATATCAAGAACATTAAAATTATACAGGAAACTGAAATACGATTTCAAAGCAAGAAAAGAAAAATGGATTAAGAAAACAATATTTTTAAATGAAAAAAGTTATGAAGAACTTGTTTAATTTCGATACACACGACGAAAAAAAATTTTATTGAATTATATCAAGATTAAGATTAATAGCATTAATTATGTATCCTTCTGCGATCGCGTTTAGAGAAACAATTCTATATCATAGACTTTGTAGCGCAAACACGCCATTAAATAATGTCGTTTATTGCGTTCGCTCTTTCAATTCTTCGATGTGTACATGGTTCTTTTCGCGAGAATTGTATGAAAAGAGATACAAACGTATTAGTACCCTCATTTGTGTTGTTTGATCCAGGATTTGACTTTTGACTCACCTATACTAGTGTGCGCACGACCTGATTTGCGCCGAATCGCAATAAAGCGCTATTGGATCGTTAAAATGAAACGAAACGGTAACTAGGCGGAAAGAACGACGAAACAATTGTTAAATGTACAACTCGAAATGCAAAAGTACCAAATACAATCGTCGTTAGACGAATCTTGAACACAGCTGCATTTAATACAATTTTTAACATAATACAAAGCATAAGGAACTTGTCAAAAAATATAGATTATCAAATGATGAATAAATAAAATTATATGTATATCGATTGATAGTAGAATTATATATTATATATATTGATCTCTCAATTGATGTAGCAAATTGTCGAGACCACAAATTTTGTTGAATTATTATTATTATTATTTTTTTTTTTAATAAATCATTATTTACAGATCAATGGATCCATCATGGCATGCTTCATTTCCTAAATCAAAATCATGGAAACGTAATTTTGTAACCCAACGATCACACATGGTCTTAATAAACACGTCATCTCCAAATGCTTGACAAATATTTTTTAAACAGTCGCCAACGCTTTAAATTCAATTCTGCATTATCAAGCACACTTTACCAAATCGTTGTTATTGACATTTACAAATATAAAATCAAACAGCCAATTTAAAAATTATACAGGAACATTATTCATATGAGTTACCACGTACATTTGTACAGAAAAAACATTCATTTTTTAAATTCTTATTTCTATTTTTTTCTCTTTCAGAGACTTTCAATAGATTGAGGCAAAATCTTATGAACTATTTCTGGAATATGCCTGATATCGCGAAAATTCCGATTCCTGAAGGAGCAAACACAACTTCCACCACTAAGGTAAACATACTCAATATACACACTTAAATTAATTTACATATTTAAATTACTTAATATACACTTAAATCAATAATTTTGCTACAATCTCCAGAATTTCGTTCAGAATAAACAATTAATAAACTCGTTAATCAATAAAATTATCATCTTATATTTTCTACAATTGCCGATTATTGTTCGAAATGATATATTTGTGTCGTTGGATATTTTTGTGGCTGAAAGTGATCGAAAGTAAATTTTGAACTGGTTGTTGATACCGTCCGCGATGAACGAAATAAAATAATCTGTCGACACGCGAGATGAAGAGTTCCGCACCGCGCCGGACACGTCGCGAAGATAATGCAACGTCAGCAATTTACGTACACGTGTAAGCTGCAGCATCGAGATGGAGGAAGGGATGGAGGAGTGAGAGGAAATACCCTTAACAATAGTATAGTAGAGGCAAGTGTACGGCGATGGTAGTGATCGGATTACTGCATTTCCCGTCGCGTATTGTCTGATATGTAAGTCGCTTAACGCTTAATGCGACTTGCCGTACAAAGCGCGAAACAAAAATGGATAACTGACCTCCAAAAAGTTCGCCGAGTGTCGGCGATTTTCTTTTTCAGATAAGCGTTTAATTCGCGTGTAAAGCCCGTCGTTTGCACAGGACATGTCCGTATAAGATAGGTAAAAAAAAGAAAAAGAGAGAGAAAAATGATTATCCTTTTCTAAGATGCTACAATTGAAAGAAAGAGAGAGAGACAACTAAATTTGCATTTTTTATTTTTTTATTATTTGTAATAATCGCGAAATATTTTTATAAATTTTATCTTTTTATTTATAATAATTGAAATATTATTTTAAAATCGTTGAATTGTTTCGTGAAAAATGTTGTTTCGTAAAAAAAACACTTTTTTATTGGCATTTAAACATTGAAAAATATGGATATAAAATAAAGGAATGATATAATAATACATTAAAAGTATGGCATGTGAAAACGAAACGTGATTTAGCATTTTGTTAGGAAAATATGGAAATATTGAATTGGATATTTTCTTCATTGTGTTTTCACACACACACACACACACACACACACACACACACACACACACACACACACACACACACACACACACACACACACACACACACACACACACACACACACACACACACACACACACACACACACACACACACACACACACATGTTTTCACACACACACACACACACACACACACACACACACACACACACACACACACACACGTGTAGGAAGATATGGAAAGTTTAACTAAATACATAGAGCGATTCTCTAATAATTCAAACCGAAGCACTACATTTCTTTGTTAACAGTATAAACCATCGTACTGTACTATACGCTCTGTCATGTTCTAAACGTGGCGGTTGCTAATTTTTCAATAATAGAGCTTAATTAATTTTGATGATGCATTTGTCGGTTGTACAGCTGCAAATTGTTCGAATAATCTATTTGCACCTCTGTCTAAACCAGCTCTTATTCTCCGAGGCTTCCTGTTGTATATACATCACACTATCTTTGAATATTTAACGATATAATAAATTGATTAGATAACAAAAAATATAAATTATATTTAAAACTTAAAAAAGGTTTTTTGGACAAAAATTTTTAATCGATTATTAATTTTAAAGATTATGACTAATTTATGACTCGTACATGTTTTAATAAAAAATAGAATGACTTTCTTGCAATTATAAAGTCAGTATACACAGTTCCCCCTAGAGACAGATTATAAGATTAATTTAATATGCGTGATTTAATTCGTTTGATTGCAGATCATTAATGGTCATGTGGTAACGATCAACGAGACGACTTACACATCGAGCGACGAAAACGGCGGCACCGCATTCCGAATTCGCATAATCGATGTAAAACCGGAAAATGACACTCTACCGACTTTCGGCGGTGACAATGCGGAACCGACAACGGTGAGGGCGGAAGCGCCAGAGAGCCGCGAGACGATGGAGGACATGAACAACGAGATACCGAAGAATACGGACGTACTGACCGCTTAAAAAACGGTCGGTCGTTCACGCTCGATTTTGAAAACGAGGAAGAACGATCCCTCATTACGTGGCTGTAGTAGAGTAACTTTTCGATATCGCACCGAGTGCATCGCGTTAAAGTAATATTATTATAATATATAGTTGTGTTTCTGTGGTTTTCTATAGCTTTTTTTTTTTAATACGGTTGATTGTTTACGACGTTTATCTGCGCCTTTTTGAAATAAAAGATTACTACTGCTGTGAAAAAATACAGCCCGGATTTACGAAGATATATGGATAATATAAATTGGAAAGGAGTTAATAAATAAATTAATTAAATAAAGTAATTAATTCATGTAATTTTAATTAAAAGATTAAAAGCTTTGAATTCACATTAAATAAACATTAAATTGAATTAAATTTTTGATTAAATTGAGTTAACATAACTATCTTTAAAGCTTAATGCGCTTTTACAAATAATGTTGAGTTTAAAACATTCTTCTTGTAAATTAATAAAAAAAAAGGTTGAAAAACTTGTTTGTTGAATCATTTAAATGTATATTTTTCATATGTATATTATTAAAATTAGCTTTTTTTCTTATTTAAATGCTATATAGAAAAGATGAATACACAAAACTAGTCATGTATGCTAATTTATTGGTTGACGGTCGTATTTATTCACAGAGAAACCGTTTTCTGTAATACATAATATCGGCACTCCACTTGATTAATTATATCACTTATTTACATCGTCCGTCAAGCGTAAGATTTATGCTGATTTGCTATGTACCACGCGATAAAATACAAATGCGAAGTAGATTATAATTGCTGGTTGGCATTACAATATTGCCTTATATACATACAGCAGTGCGGAGATCTATATTTTATAAAAAATTGTAAGGTTGATATCGAACCCACCAAGATCTATACTTCCTATACATACTTAGGTAATCCTAACACCCTTTTAGTTCCTTCGACGTACGAAAAAGTATAATTTCAAGTAATATATAGTCATATGCTTGATGATTAAACATTTATACGCAGGAGTAAACGTTCGTAAACAATTTTCAAAGATAAGGAAAATTTTTACAAAGAAATATAGCAGTGTATCGCGATTTTTTATAACAAAAAAAAAACGTACGTTCCTGTAGCTTTATATTCACGGATTTTAATAAACTTACAGATATACTTCTTATACATTGTAAGTTGGTTAGAGAGAGAAAAGTTGATACAATAAAATATATGAATAAAATATATATGGCAATATATA